AAAATAAACAAAAAAGAGAATATATTAGTACGAAAACGAAGGGTCACAACCTATAAAGAAAACGTAATGCGGACGGTAGTAAAAGTACTATAAGAACAATAATCATGTATCCCCCTTAACTGTGCAAATTATAAATAAAATAAATTGTGCTGCTGCTTAAAAAAAACACTAACTGGTTAACTGCAGACGATTTAACAGAAACAAGTCTAACAATTCAAAGGACATTCATAATCGTAAATAACATCAACATATCTGAGCATAGCCTCGGTATGCACGTAAAAAGAAAACGTGAAAATGATTCTAACCACAGATATTCTAACAATGCAGTAATTAATAGTATCACATGATCCATAATAATCTAAGCTAATTTCCCCTAAATTCCCAAAGTATAAAAATGTTTCATTTTCTTTTTCTCTCTCATTAATTTACTGTACACATATTACTTATTATTGTTGATTGTAGCTAATTCGTGCTCACATTCGGTATTCAACTCTTCCTTCTTAATTTCAATTTTTTTGGTCTCATGCGATTGTTCAATGTCCTTTGTGGACATCGGACAACTCTGCACGTGCTCCTTGTAATAGATGTTGTCGTTGAAGGACCGACCGCAGGACTTGCACTCAAAGTATTCGCTACCATTTTTTGTATACATATTAGGATGCAGATGGACGTAGCGATGGTTTTCAAGTTCCGTCTCAAAGAAGAACTTCATTTTGCAGTCGGTACATTCGTAGGGTCGATGGATGAGGCCGTGTGCAATGATGTGGGTGCGAAGGCCCATGGCTGTAGTAAAGACGGAAGAGCAGACGTAGCAGCGATATTGGCCCATTCCCATAAAATTGTGCTCTATCAGGTGAACCTGAAGTTTGGTCGGAGAGGGCAGAACGTTGCGGCATAGGTGACACTCGAGGCTGGGCTCTTCGTTCATCATGTGTTCAGTGGTGTGCGCTTTAATCTCATCCTCCGTGTCGAATGTCTGAGAACACTTGAGACATGCGAATAGTTTGCTCTGTGATGCGATCAAGGACGATGGAGAGGATCCGTTGGTAGCTTTCATGCATTCAATGCATATGGGAACATTGATGTTGTTTTTTTCTACGTGTTTTAATAAGTGGTTGTCACACATCTTGTTGCAAATGGCACATATTAATTCTTTTTGTAACAAATGCCGCAGATGGAATTTCGCGTGAAGTTTAATCTCGACGTCGGTCTGTAAGGTCTGACAACATATGATGCAGTTTGCGGGTAGCGAAATTTGCGAGTTTTGCTTGTTGATTGCGGACGTGTTGCTGTGTTGGAGTTGATGGTTATAAAATGATTGCTCGTCTAGTAATACTGCTTTGCATTGGGTGCAACTGCTACCAGCGACTATCTTGCAATGAGATAGCTTATGTTCGGCCAATGTGCCGTTGGACGTAAATATTTCATCGCAGATATTGCACTTGTGCTTACCTTTGCCGCATGACACTTGGTGCGACTTCATATGGTTCTCCAGGTCGTTGCGGGATTTGCAGTGCTCGTTGCAGTATGCGCATTGTAAACTTAAAGTACCTACTTTGGTTTTAGCATGGTGCAATTTCTTGTGAGCAGTTAGCTCAGCTTCACTGGCTATGTCAGACCTATTGCAAATCTCGCAACTGTAGTTACCAATCTTACCAAGGTCAATTTTGTCGGGAGATGAGCTTGTCTTGCTATATGCGACATTGGGCGAAGCGGACGGGATGCGACGGTTACTGGAGTCTAGTAGATAATTTTCACCCTGTAAAATAATCGAGAATTTGTTTAATTTATAATTGGGATAAGAAGCGGTTTTCTGGTAAGTACCTCGCGCACCTCGTTGTGTTCCTTGAGGATGTGTACATATTGCAGGTACTCGTCTTTAAAGGCTTTCTGACAGAAGGGGCATTGGTAAATGGAAAATTCAGCGCGAGTTTCGATTTCAGGAAATCTGGACATGTGGTGATAATTTCGCACACTTGAGCTCAGAGGCGCCTGAATACTGTGCTTCATATTTACGTGAAGCTCGGCTGTGAGACGGTCGTGGAAAACTTGGTCGCAGCAGAGGTTGCACCTGTAATGCTTACACTCGGGACTATGTTTGTTCGAAAAGTGCATCTGTAAACGAGGTGGGATTATAGCCATTATCGTCAAATCCCGACAATCAGTGAAGCCTTACCTGTAAAGCTAGCTGAGTTTCGAATATATCGTTGCAGATGCTGCACTTGTAGACGGTTTGGGAGTGGGCTTCGAGGAGGTGTTTTTGTAGGTCATCGATTTGGTCGAAGGGTTTCTTGCAACAGTGACAGCATCGAGCTGTGACGTTGCTGATGGCGTGACTGAAGATATGGCGGCCCAGTTCTAGGGTGCTGCGAGCCGGTTCACCGCAAAGGGGACAACACCCAATCACGTTGTTCGTAGAAAGAGGTAGAGGGGTGGATGGTGTGCTCATAGACACATGGGTTTCCATATGAAGGAGGAACATTTTGAAGTTTGGCATTTGCGCATAACAATACGAACATATGCAAGGTTTGTCATTAGATTCGTAAGGACTACCAGTGGATGGAGACGAGGTCTGCTTGCTGACTAGTGCCGCTTCATCGGCTTTCCTCTTATCCAACTTGAAGTCAAGAGGGTTCTCAGAACGCCGTTTTCTGCTCAGATCGGTAGGCTTGGATTGCGAGGTGGCTGCTAACGAGTGCGATGACTTCTCGTTGGAGATGCCCGAGGAGTTCGACATCGTCGTGAAGTCATACTTGTATAGTCCAGTTGGTCCCCAGTGGACGTTCTCGATATGCTCCTGAAGTAAAATTGGCGAATCGAATCGCATCGTGCAGCGATCACACGCGTAGGTCGGCGAGCTGTTCTGCCTGGACGTCTTCGGAGATAGATTCTCCATAACCGGCGAAGGTAGCGGAGTGAAGCTTTGCGAGATGCTATTGAAAATAGCACGGTGCTCGGAATGGATGTGCTGATACATGTGGTTCATGCTGAGGAAATCTTTTCCGCAATACATGCAGGCGATTTTCGGCAGATCGATGGCCGTTTTCAATATATTGAAACTGGCGTCCATTAATAAATTATTTGGATGAGATGCCGGAGGCGAGATATTTTTATGGCTCACTTGCAAGTGGTTCTGGAGAAACGAACGATGCGATTTATATACTTCGATCCCGAGCTCATCACCGATGCTTACCTGAAGATGCTCCGGTTTTTCGAAAGTGTCCGGACATTGTAGACATCGGAAGTTACCAGGACTCGGTGTGCTGACGGCGCTGCTCCTACTGGCGCTACTGCCGCATCTCCTTTGCTCCTGCTTCGAATGATGCTGTTGATGGGAAGCCAAAGCCGCAGCGGTGTTATAGCCGCGATTGCATAATTCACATTGATGAGGCTTTTTGTTGTCGTGGGTCTTCATGTGAATTTTTAAGTGGTCGCTGCAAACGAAGAGTGCAAACGAATGGAAAACATTGCGAAAAGCGCATAGAGACAATGGGGTGGACGCGAAGGGGACAGATACTGCTCTATACCTCCGAGAGCGAATAAGGTAAAGACGATGGTTGGAGAGAGGTGCGCGCGGAGGCGGAGGAGACGTCTCGCGGCAATAGCAGCACAAAATAAGGAAGCGGACATTAGCGATTCGCAAAGTATACCGGATTCAAAAGGAATCTCGGTGAGACATCGTGTGAAACAGGTAAACTATCGCAGCTAGTCTAAATTGGAACATGTTTGACTTCTTTATCGGTGATCGTGCGCTCGTCGAGCGCAAATTAATTATTCACTTAATTATGATAAAATGCTATTACGGAATCATGGAAGGCGAACCTGAGGAACTTCGGCGTAAATTGTATGCAATTTGCACGCTGATAGATTCATTTGCATCACTTGCAATATTCAAAGCAATCACAATCGATACAACCATCGACCCTTAGCTTACCTTCTTGCAAACGCCGAATCGCAGTGGAGACACTTATACTTCTTGTCTCCGGTGTGCAGCTTGGTGTGTCTATCTCTGGACCTCTTGTGCTTGAACAGGCGACGGCAATAAGGACAGCTGAATTGCAACTGCTCGGTGTGCGTCTGCAAAAAAGAAGGGTTTCGACAAATGATGCATGATCGATGATTATAAGTCGCCACCTAAGCAAATATCAAAATCGTAAATTATGCAATTGCAGAAATGCATTTTAACTGAAGACTACTGACCAGTCCAATTGGACCGGTGCGGAACTGCAAATTGCTGGCCAGATTTTATCCCGTTTTTAATGGGACTTGTTATGTGCCAGATTGCCCTCTGACCCTCCTCTTTCTTGTCCCTCGTATACGCACAAACACATTAAACGACACGTGGATCTGGTGAAAACACCGGAACCTGTAAATTACGAAAACCGGAGCGCCGTGCTCTCAACTAACCATCTACCAACCTCTTGTTCTTCTACTACAACTCTGATTTCATTAAAAACAGCATCCAGTGGTCACAGATATCATATCCACTTTGGTCGTTTTTCTGTATCTCATTCCACATGTAGTTAAATTGTATAAAATTTATTTCTATAACTAAAAAGTTCTAATTTACATTTTTTTTTTAATAAAAGTAATCTAAATATTATTATTTAATGATTATTAAATGCATAAAATTGTTACAAAAAAAAATGTTGATATCAATGAGTTTGACCTACTGTAATTGTGAATGCAAACAAAATTAATTATGAATGTCTAGATTTAATATTACATTATGTAACGCAGCGGGTACGGAATAATTGAAGATGGTTTGTTCTGTTAGTATTTAATGCAAACTCAATTAAATATGATTATATAAGAAAAAATAATCTAAATTAAATTAATAAAATTATTAAACTATAATAAAACTGATTTAAAATTTAATAATTTTATAGAATATATTTTTTTTTTGTATTGATATCTGGCCAATAAATTATTATTATTATTTAAGAATCATTTTCGAATTACAAAAAAATGTTGAAATTAAAAATGAAATAAATTAGAAGAACAAATTATTAAATTTGTATTTCTGTAACTAAAGTATGTTAGTATGTTTAGTTATAAATAGAATTAAATATTATTCTATTAAGAAAATATTTTGATGCAATTACGATTTTTGTATAAATGTTTAGTTTAAAGAAATTGAAATGTTAATGAGTGATACAGATTGACTATCTTGATTGTTTAAAGTTTACGGTAAGTCTGATGGTGTATGGAACAGTCGTAACGGTAATGTGTGTTTCTTTTATTTATCGCGGAACAGAATCTGAGCTTGATTTTGGGAACTGGCAATTGTCGTACACGAGTGTCAACACCTGTGCGAGGACCGGAGAAGAAAGCCGCCCTCGAGATGTGTCGCGATGGTTATCATCGGTTTTAAAATGTGCGGTGCGTCTGAAAGTCGGCTCCGATCAAAAGCCACACGTGTAATGTCCTGCGCTGATGCGGCCTTACAAAGAAGGTGCCAACCAGCACAACAACAGAGCAACAGAATAAGCTTTATTATACTCAAACGTATATATTTATATTTATAAAATTAGTTGTTTTTTTTTTCTGTTGAGTTCTTGTTGTTTTTGTTTTAAATGAAATCTGTGGAAGTGGAGTAAACCGTCGCGCGGAATAACAATTGCCGCCATTCGATTTAATAATGCTGCGACATTTCAAGCCCCCCTCTCACCTGTACGTGTTTGCTTAATAGTGATGACCTGGCGAATGCCCTTTTGCAAATATTGCATTCGTAAGGGGTTGTAGCCGTCGCGCCCATCGTGTACGGCTCTTCGGCCTCCGGCGTGTCGCTGAGCGAACTCTGGCAGGAACTTGCAGGGGACGCTTGCTCCGAGCTGCTCGACGGCGAACTTCCCTGTCCTGCAAAACATCAGAGATCACATCAGTCATTGGTCATTAGCTACTCCGGGGACACCTTCGAATGTATGTATTCCTTAGGATCGATCCGCGGCGACCAGCGACGATCAAATGGACGGACGGACAATTCACTTCGAATTTTATACGCGAATTTACGATTGTTGTAAATTGCTGTTTTGCTGTACGGCACGGCCCGAACTGCAGTTCAGCAATCAGCTAAGTTGGAATGCAAAGTAAATACGATGCCGCCGCCATCATAATTCGTCTCAGGAAGAAACCAAGGAAAATAAATAATATAAAATAACGCAGGGTGAGTTAGAAAAGGAGCGGAAGATGTGTGGCCCCGGGATTCCGTGCAAATACGAATGTATGGTGATTTTGATTGCGCTGACAGAAAGGCACGCGGTAATGCAGACAAATGGTTTCACATTTCGTTAGGGTTGTTATTCCTTAAAGAGGCGTTCCAATCTTTTCCATTTCCATGCGGATAATGGAATGAAAAATTGCTTGATGAGATGCCACATACTGGAATTGAGATGGATAGTTATGAGCGGGATGTGGAGATTGGCGTTCCTTCTCCCTTCGTACGTGCGCCCTTCGCATCTATCTGCGATCGTCGCGAGTTGCGGCTGCGAGTTGTAAGTAGCTTGTTGCTGCTCCGCAAATTAGCGGAGGAAATTATGAAATTGAGGAAACGCTAACACGAATAAAAACGAAATTGGAATGTGCGAGAGACTCCGACACCTACGGGCCAATATCGCGGACCGTGGGAACGGCACTAATTAATGCGTCGGTCAAGTTGCGAATGAATGAATGAATTTCAGCCGGAGTTTCGATTTAATTCATTACCGGGCTTCGAATCGTCAGGTGTATTATCCTCGGTGGTTTCCTTGTTCGATTGTATTTTCTCGATGACCATTTCCAGTCGGCTGCTCTTCCCTTTGAACAGCATATTAGATATTCGAGGATTTACTCAAGTCGGTATTCGGATTGGCATTGGCATTCGCACTCTTACGCACTTGCACAGACGCGCACACACGGACCGAGTCGACTGTAAAAGACACAGGTGTGCAACCGCTCCGGTCCCGGATCGAGCACTGTTTGTAGTGTTTGTTGTACTGTTTGTGGGTCTCCCACTTCGGTCTGTGGGGTCCAACACGTACCCCTCCGACACCCTTCTTACTTGCTTGCCTTTACTGCTGCTGGGGCAGAAGAAGAAGGACGGTCCACGGCGCGGATTAAGACACTTCGACAGTAAAGGAGGCCCGGCCCCCGCCTTCTTCGCAACAGCCGTAACCCAAGAATACTGGACAGCAATTACTCTCCGAACGTACGCACTGTGCGACCGCCGATTGTCCATAATATATCCCTCTATAAATAAAATGGCGTGCTCCCTGTTACCATATCCCCCTGATCTATTACCAGAGTTTGGGATATAAGCTCGGTTTAACGCACGAAATAGTTGAGGCGGCGATCGCGATTGGCCGAAGAGGCCCTCGTGGGTGGATACAGGAGTTACAAATCGAAATGCTCGAAAGTGCAGCGGCGGCTCTATGGGAATGGAAATAATGTAAAAGGACGAGAAGCGCCGAACCAACAGGGCCAAACGGATTAATTAATGCATAAGAATGAAGAAAACAAATAAACAAACACACGAATGGGAGAGTATCGTGGCCACCGGCGGCGTACGGTTGACGGGGGGGCGCCCACGGTCCATTTACCCCCCATGGGAATTCCCCCGTTGGGCTCGGCGTCGAAGAATGATGCATTTCGTTCCCGTGCCCTTTCCATCCTTATTGTTTTGCATTGCCTACGAAGTGCCGAAAGCGTGATCATCGATTCCGCGTAGTAAATACTTACGACCATCTCAAAACTTGATCATCGTATTGTTTGTTGTATTCGTTGCATCGAAATATGGATAGTTGGATTGATGGCTGTCCCAGAAAGAGCATATTTTTACAAGTCGCGCGTATCCAGCGGCCGGGATTTCTGTTTGCATTGGCCAAGAATCGCGCTCTGTCCCTATATAGAGCGTGGGAAGAAACAAGATTCCGCGATCTCATCTGCGGAAAAACTGGTGGAAGGAATCTGCCACCTAATGCAGGATTAGTGTCGGGAAACGTGCATTGCTAAATTGAATGTGCTTTACTTATTGTTTTTCTGCAATGCCCGGCTAATTATCCACCTTAATCCGCACAAGATTTCTGTGACGATTTTTTTTTAAATCATTATTTATGTACATCTTCAAGAACTTTTTATTTCCTGCCTACCTGCAGACTAATTATCCGCTACGCACACGCTTTTTGCCCTTCTCTCTAATAATTATTTATATTTTTCGATGAATCGATAAACATGGCGATCGGAAAAACTGGTGCTTGGAATTTGCCACCTGATGCAAGATTTGTATCGGGAAGCGATGAAATGCACATTACTAATTGCGTTTATTCTCCAGATGTCTATGATCCTCTTTTGCTTTATTTATATTTTTCATAACTTCGTGCTTTGCTTTTGCTCGTTTATACCCAATTTTAGAATTTTGTTTTCCTAGAAGCACGTGACATGACATCTAATGATGCAATCATATAAACCTTAGCTACAGTCTCTAACCATTCAAATACTAAACAGTATAGCTACAACATGAATGCAAAAATAAATAGATTTTCATCATAATTTATTATTTAAAATTTTTAATTTTCATTAAAGAAAAATATTATTACCAAATATAAATGAAACATGTGATAAATGATTATTTTTTAAGGAAGGAAATCCCAAACGATTGTATTTGATGGATCTGAATTCCTAACCAATAGCTGCAATCGAATATACACGAAACAGTGTCCACGAGATAATAATCTCAATTGAATGTCTGGCCTGTGCACATCATATCCTCACCTCATACCATAATCAATATTAATTAATCCGCTCGCTGCAAGTGCAATATTTTGTTAGACATCAATCATAATGGAAAACACTCAGAGCAAGTCAACTCAGCTATAGAATTATTCATAATATTCTTTAAATGTTTCAATGAAATTAATTTTTGAAAAAAAAAGCTAATAATTATTTTTGCTTAAAATTTATATCTTAAATGTTAATTAAATATTGGTTTAATATTGATTTAAATTAGTACAATCGATACGATAGCAGAAAGGTTACCGACTCTACTATATTATTTATTGTTATTACGTGTCAGTTGTTCCAACTTACTTTGTCTCTTCCTACCTCCTGTTCCAATCAAAATTAATAATGCAATAATACACGTGTTTTTTTGCAAAACAATGTTATTTCCGTGGTCGATGCACGTGCTGTCACATTTTTTTATGAATATCAACTTTTGTACGCTCTTGAATATTAATTTACATATTTTAATGCACTTTCGTTATTATTTGATTCTTTGTTTTTCTGATAATGACTAATTGCTTTTGTTTGTTTCTAATTAGTAAATATATGAATTGAAAACAAGTAACTAATGTAGTTTATGAAATTGACTTAATGTTTGGATGATTCATTTGTATGTATGCATTTAATTCGAAAATGTAATCTAATTGAATCATATAAGATAATTTGTCATGTGTCAATTTTAATTTGTTTTAATAAAATTTTATGTAGGTTTATGGTTCAGGTGTAGAATATCATGAGATGCATGAAGATCGAAACTGAAATGAGTTTTGGTGTAATGAGTGTTTGATGTGAAGCAAGGGGTTGCATGAAAGTCGCATGTTTGAATGCAGCTAAATGCGAATCCGGATCCGGTTTATAAGCAGAACCGGACACTCCGGTCAATGATTAAGACATCATCAGTTTGGATCGAGGGGATCCATATAGAATATCTGCGAGGGTTGAATCAACCCCTCTTGTCGTTTGGGGCGATTCCGCATCGCATCACTCGCTGATCACCATTAAAGGCAGATGTGGACGATCCGAGCGCGACGCTCAGCTACGCGGAACGGGACAGGAGGCTGAGGACCAAAAAGGCTTTTGGCTATTACCAATCGTCACCTATTTAGAAAAGTCCTCGTGCAGAACGTCCACCTGCCCAACGATTCCTTTAATCATCCGAAACAATTGCTGCTTCGGTGCTCGGATCAAACGAAATCAAAGGTCGGACAGTTTTAATTTTCATGCCGAATACAAATAGAAACTAGAATCAAAGGGTTGTGCAAGGATTAGTCAATGGTGGTCAATCTGAATGCGAATGTTTTGTGTGTTAAGGAAGCGCATAGATGGCAGTGGTTTTACTTGCTCCTGCTTAAAACCACGTGCTTCCAGTGACTATCGACCCGGACCTGTTGCTTCCATTGTGAAATTTTTAAAGAAGCATTCGATTCCGATGGGGTTTCGCGCACAACTGCTGCACATCGCATCAAACTGCGACTTCCAACCTTTTCCGCACACCGGAACGTTCATTAGGAAGAATGTAAGTAAGTAAGTAAATCAGAAAACATGAGGTGTTTTCTGTTCTCCACCGAAACGCATCGCCGCCCCCACAGCGCGGACCGAAAAAACAAAGTTCGCTGTTTCGAAGTTTCGGTATCGGTGGTAGTTTCAATAAGTGAGTTTCGCTCCCCCGTGCAAAAGTTTATACCTGACTTCTAAGAAGATAATAATCTGAAGACAAATGCTTTATAATATTTTATGCTTCCCTGTAGATCCGTCGAGTGCCCGGAGCAAGAAATAAGCTCCACTCCGCGTAATCTAATCTTCCCTTACTAATTACCCCGCCAAGGATAACTTGGGTAATTGGAGAGAGAGAGAAAGAGAGTAAAAAAAAAGAGAGAGTATGAATGCATGTGCGCGAATCGAGCGAGCTGTTGACAAAATAATAGATCGTGTAGCTGGGTTGGATGAATGGGGAAAAAACAATAATAACAATAACCGAAATAATGCAAAACACATGTACCGGCGATTGGATGAGCTCGGGAATCCAGAACAACAGAAATATTCGGAATATTGATGAAGCGAATAATTCGCGGTTCGCGTTAATGAGTTTGCATGTCTCTGAT